ATGCCAATCTCTGCCGCCGCCCTCAACTTCACTGTACCAGCTCCGCGATCCCCGTCCCTCTACCACCACGCAGAGTCCGGCCACTCATTCTTGCCTCCATCCGTCTCCTTCACCCCCAAAACCTCCACGGCGGGCTCTCTTGTCCTGACCCCAAACAATCGCTCCCTGTTCGTAGTCTTCTCGACGAACGCCGCCGCCGCCGCCGCCAACAGCGAAAGCGACGCTAAAATCTCGACCGGCGGAGGAAATGGCGGAGTCGGAGACGGAGGTAGCGGCGGGGGAGGCGGTGGAGACAATGGCGGCGGGAACGAAGGGGATGACGATAGGAACAAGAAGAGGAACAAGGACGAAGCTCTGATGGCGTTGGCGGAGGCCGGGAGGAGTCTCGAGAGCTTGCCTAAGGATTTGAGAGCTGCCATTGAAGACGGAAGGATACCCGGGTCGATTGTTTTAAAGTATTTTGATCTAGAAAGATCTGGATTTTTGTCTTGGCTTATGAAATTTGGAGGGTTCAAGGAGAGGTTGTTGGCAGATGATCTCTTCTTGGCCAAAGTTGCCTTTGAATGTGGTGTTGGAGTATTCACCAAAGTAAGCTGACCTATTCGATTGCGAAAACTTTCCGATGTTCTTGTTTTTCTTTTCTTGATAATCATACTTGTATATGTAATCATGGACATTCCACACCTTTTGCAAAATTATAAACTTTTCACATAGTAATTATCTGTTTCCTTGGCCAAAATGGGGTTTAGTGGAAGATGGAGAATGGATGCTTGTGATAAAGTGGTTGTTTCTGCTCGGCTTAGCTTCAAAGGTTGTATCTTTGATACAAATTATGACAACACAATCCACAGTTTGTGTACTGTGAAAAGTGTTACTATCATCTGTTGTACTGATTGTTTGTTTTGCACTTTGCCTCACACAAATATGAAAAGAATGTTAAAACTTTGTCTTTTATTTTATTTTATTTTTCTTGTTTTTTGTTTTCCTAGTCATAATCGTCATGTTTTGTACTCCCAGACTGCTGCAGAATATCAGCGTCGCCAGGAAAACTTTTTCAATGAGCTGGAGATTGTATTTGCTGATGTGGTTTGTGGTTTCTTGTCGCCCGATTTTATTATTATTATTATTATTTTGAACATAAATTCGAACTTTTCTGCCCAATCGATTATGATGGGGATGCCACTAGCTGTGTGATATCTGCCTTGACTAGACTATTTGGTGGTTGTCCAAACTTTAGTGGTCATTTTCTCGAACGGCTGTTCAAAGTTAACTCTAAATTATGTGTCATTTGTAGTTTTAATGGGTCATGATGTTCTCACAAGTTGATCTTCCATGGTGTAGTTTCAATTTTATCTCATGGTTTGCCAACTTCATGTATACGACATAACTACAACCTTCATCATAAAAGACGTTGAAGGTAACTCAGGATGCTAATAATCGTATGACATTAATGCCAGTAGTTTGCAGAGATGGTCTAAATTCAGAAATGGTATGGATTTTGGCTTATGGGGGTGTCATCTTGCAAGTTTGCCTAACATGGAGCGACATATAGTTGTTATGTAAAACGACATATTTTGTTAGGCTTCTAAAACTGTGGATATGATGAACTTACAAGTCTTTTTGACCCACTTTGTAAAGGTGGTACTGAACAATTTTTAGGTTTGATGAGGCGCACCAGTAATACCTTATTTCGTAAAATACGAAAATGTCCAAAGTGGATGTCAAGTTTTCATTTCATTTTAAAAATTCTTTTGAAATGGTTGATTTTTTTGACAATGATCTTTGCTTTGCACGAGCATTAGTATTGGTTTTTATTTTCTTCGGACAATATTTAGCATATACACTCTTGCTGTGCCATCCACTTTCATTAAGATTTAACACGAACTTAACTCTACCTCTTTCTGATCTTACATATTTGAGCTTGTTTAATGCTTCAGGTAATGGCTATAATAGCAGATTTTATGCTCGTCTACCTTCCTGCTCCAACTGTTGCTCTTTGACCCCCTCTGGCGCTAAACGCCGGTCGCTTTGCTAAGTTCTTCTACAGTTGTCCAGATAACGCATTTCAGGTAAGCTCGGCAAATCTCTACTGCTTTTTTTATTGATGAAGTACGACGTAATTTGTGAAATATTGATGGCATAGCACACGTATGCAGATTGCTTTGCCCGGAACATCGTTTTCGTTGTTGCAGAGGATAGGTGCTATAATGGTAAGAAGATCTTCCCCCACTCGTTTGGAGTGGACATGGAATAAAATTTGTGGATCCGTTATCATTTATTATTAACTTATTCATTTATTTTTCTTGGCAGCGTAATGGTGCAAAGCTGTTTGCTGTCGGTTCTACTTCTTCTCTGGTAATTTCTCATCATGGGGGGGTTTGTATTAATATATAACTGCTTGAGATTCTGGTTTTTTGTTCATATGAAAAGAGCTGCTTTAAGAAGGAAAATTGGAATTGAAAGATTAATGACACCATTAATTAATATAATTGTGTGTGCGCTTATATATGTTGGCTTCTACGTGAGCTCTCAAGACAACATGAGGGTTTAAATTATCAATTTATTTAAATGTCACAAAACATTTATTTCTTTCGTCTAGTCAAGCACAAATTCGGTGAGATTGAATCTAAAAGTAAGTTTTGTATATGTTTAGGTCGGTACTGTCGTGACAAATGCAGTGATCAATGCTCGTAAAGCTGTTGATCACTCTGGTGGAGGTGAAGTGGAAAATGTTCCTGTAATATCAACCAGTGTTGCCTATGGTGTCTACATGGCAGTGTCTAGCAATCTTCGGTATGTGTACACACGCGCGCAATCACATTGAGGCCTATTTGCCTTGTAATTATTGGGAATTTTCAAATGAATTTCCTTTGACCGTGTATATTTACGTTTTTGAACTTCCATTTTTGTCGTACAGATACCAAGTGTTGGCTGGCGTTATCGAGCAACGGCTTCTAGAACCTCTGCTTCATCAGCATAAGCTAATTCTGAGTGCTCTTTGCTTTGCCGTGCGAACGGGCAACACTTTCTTGGGTTCATTGTTGTGCGTCCTTTTTCCTTCCGCTTTTTGTATAAATCCCTCTTTATGCTTATCTTCCATTACGGTTATAATGAGTAAGGCTCTTGTTCTGCAGGTGGGTTGACTATGCTCGTTTGATCGGGATTCAGTAGGTTCGAGATCTAATGTTTTAAGTAGAAAATAGTGATTCTGAGCTCCGGTTGTTGAATGTCTAGTCTATTTTATCCATTGAATTATGATACAACAGTTCACTGGAGATGAAAGAATGGGTGTGGTTAGGTTTCAGGATGTTTTTGATGTGTCTAATTTGAATTTTGTATATTTATTCACTGTCAAGATATTCATATTTGAAATTGTGGCAGATGTTATCTCTTACGAGAATTAAAAAAAAAA